AAGTATACTTTAATGCATTTTTGTATAGTTGTTGCTGCTGTTTTCTTTTTTTCGCGTTATGTTGTGGGAAAAGGCAAAGCGAATGTGTGGATGTGAGAGTGAGGCTGTGTGCGGCATGCAACTCAAAGCATGGCATTACAATGATTTGCTGTTGTTTCCGTTTTTTCCTACGTGCCACTTTTTTCTGAGAAAAAAAAATGAAATAATAAAAATAATAATAACTCGGTGGCCGTATAATCCCCTAGCCACTGGCATGGTTATGATTTCATTCTTGGTCTTCTACTGCTGTTTTTTATTTCATTCTTGCTTGCCACAGAATGAACAAATGAACTTATAAATACTTTGTTTTGTTATACAATAACTCACACAGCCACACACACACCCAGAACAATGTTGAGGCGAAATGAAAAAAAAAAAAATAACCAACATCGCAATACCCAATGTGGGCGCACTCCCCCACCCTCTATTGGGCGACAAAGGAGCCTGACAAACGACATACATTTTAACGCTAGCAAAAATTTATTTACAAAGCAGCCGGCTAGGAAATGGGCTCGGAAGTAGGGGTTGAGGTATTTTAAGATTTTTTCAAGTATCTTTGAAATGGAATATAACAAAATGCTATTGTATTCATCAAAGGATTCTCATTTTGTTTTTTGTTGTTGGTGGTATTGTAACTGTAATATTGTCATGTAATTCAAATATGCAATTTTTATTGTATTAGAAATTTTTCTTTGGCCGTGTTAAGTTGATTATGGATTAGATACTAAAATTTGGAATTGGGAGGGGTTAGAATGTAGAGATAGGGTTAAAATCAAGTAGAGGATGTATAGATAATAAGAAATGAAGTAAAAACGCCAGGCCGGGACTCATTTTGTATGCCCTCCACCATGAGATAGAAATTCAAACTTCCCTAAATCGATCGGAACCTTTATATGGGGACTATGTTCTTGCATTATGTGGTTGAAGGCTATTCATGTACTGCAAAAAAGTATTAATAAAAATTATGGATATTTAGGTTGGAAAAATGGGGTAGGAATTAGGGTAGGCAAAAAACCTTTAATACTCCGAAAATTCCACGAAACATTTGTATGGGGCTTATTTAAAGCATTCACCTATATTGAATAATTTGTGGAAAGAAGTTTTTTTTTAACCTAGAATTCAATATCCCACATTATAGCCAATTCGATGAGAAAATTTAATAAACATTAATAGTACGGAAAATGGAGCGGAACCTTAATTTCGACTGAAATTGTTTAAAAATATTTTTTTTTGCTCTCCGAGAACCCACATTACAGCCACTTCATTTGAAAATATTAAAACACTGGAACACTTATCTGTAGGCTATGTTAACATATTTAAAACCAATGAGTGGAGCAGTATAGTCGGACGGTGCCGACCATACGATACCCTACACAAATATTACGGAACTCTAACTTTATGCGGATGTTTATTTCGAGCCTGGGCAATATTTCGTGATTTTTGCACCTTCTTTAATGATAAGAGATCAACAGCACCTTTCCCTTACACTGACATATTTTCCGAATGTTCCCAATATTCAGTACAGCCCTTCTAATTACTTGTCCAAATTCCCTTCACCGTGGGTTTTGTTGTGATGTTCGGCTCTCAATTGAGGCCTATAGATCGACTCGAAAAAAAAAAACAAAAAAAAAAAGTTTTCGGTTCACTTCATCCCAAATTTTTTATGTGATCATCACCGAAAATTATAGACGTTGTCCTTGACCACAACTAGAGCCTCTTTAAAGCGAACAGCGCTATATTTCGGCCCTCTAATGTTAATGAGTTACTAAATAATATCTGAATACGTAAGCACCTGTAAATATTTAAGTGTAACTCCCACATACGACAATATAATCGGTATCAATTTAAAGGCCAACCACTCCTCTAGGATATACTGCCATCTTCTACGCCATTGAATACAAATTTAACACAAAAGTCTGGGCCCATTTAACCCGCTAAATATTGACCGAACTTAATCCCCTTCTCCATGTAAAAATTCGCGACGTTTGGGCCATAATTGAGGCCTCTGAAGCGACTAGAAAATCAGACAAAAATTCAGTTTTTGATCCATTTAATCCCCTAAATATTAACCGATTTTTACCAAAAACATTAGGGGTCTTCATTGGCCAGAATCCATCCCACATGAAAAATTTCGTGAACTGTGGCCCTTATAGTGTTTACAAATTATAATGGACAGACGGATGGACGGACACACATGTCTAGATCGACTCAGTTAGTCGAGATATGATGATCGGTATACTTAAAGGTGGGCCTAGGACCAATATTTCGCGGCGTTGTAAACTCTTGGGGCTGCACAAAGGTATAATATCCTGACAACATAGTTGGGTATACAAATCAGAAAATTGTGCGGGACTATAACAAAACTTGGACTTATAAGACCAAAACATCGAACACTGGTCGATACCGTTAACTGTTAATTTGTTTAAATTAGTATTTGATAAGACACCACAATATGAAATTAGAACCAATTCGGTTGAAAAGCGTGCCGAATAAAGAGTGCTACCATTATATAGGGGCTACTCCATATGCATTTTTTCTATGGAGATTTTCTACCCTACGACGATCAAAAATATTAAATTACTGCTAATTGGGTGGGAAAGCGTGTCCAAATACAGGGACTATACCAAAACGTGGGCCGATATATCCCATTTTCCATAGAAAAAATCTTAAAAATAGTCGCGAAATGTTAAAGGTATCACTCTCAGGAAACAGTCCATTCTTTGAGCTTCTAACGTAGATATGAAGGGAAAAAACGTAGACATAGAACATACCATACCCCTGAAGATACCCTCATAGAACTTTATGCAATCCACTGCCAAAGGATGAACAGTTAGGATTGCTCTATAGAGCCTTAAACGGCTTATATCGGTCCAAGCCATTCTGGCAAAACTAACAACACTTCTTGCTTTTCCAGTTCCATGTTACAAAATTGGTTTTAGTTTTGGACTATCGCATAAAGATCGTACCCGTCCATCGACACAAACAGTACCTAGCAAAGCGTAATCAGAAGTGATCTTCATGGATTTGAGAACGATTCACCTTCAGATCTCAATATCATTTATACAAATGTAGTAGTTTATGCAGTACAACAATACCGATAAATATAATTGGAAACAGTCCACCACCTACTTCCTCCAAGTAGTCTTAGCAAAGCTATAATCGGATGGCGCAATCGCCTCAATTCCTATTGGGCACGAATAGATGGTTCGATACATAACACATGTCCACCATCTGGGCTGGGATCACACAACACGTTGCACCTATTCAACTGCCTTGGTACTCACCTGTCTCCGAATTCCATTTGGAGGCAGCCCATACAGGTTGCATCCAGTCCTGGGGAGAATGCCAATTGAAGCAATAGGTTGATCAAAAGGAATCCTAACCCTATATGCTTTGCAATACATCTTCTTCGAAGGTCAAAGCGGTCGCCCAATAAAGCGGTAACGACGTTTTCTACCAAATTTTCGCCGATGACATTAAAATTGCAACCCCCTTTCAATAGGGAAACCACAGGGTTATCTATTACGCAGCTGTTTGGTTGAAGGTGTAATCGGTAAGCATGCTGTATCAGAAGAAGTGCAGGATGCACTTTGACGGCCTATATAGCATCGAAGTGAAGATGCAGCATTCCGCTGAAGGCATTGAAATCCGAACATTATATCAATCGGAAATCTGCAAAGCTATTGACAAGGAAGCTGCTTTTTGGAAGAAATACTAGGCAAGCAGGCATCATCTGGAGAAAGGTAGAGTGTTCTTTGACTACAAATCCCTGAGTGCTTTGAATATCGAGCCGAGGTCCTCAAGTATGAATCTAAATAAAGTTGGATGTGCTCAAATCATATAGTTCAACTACAAAAAATGTTCGAATAATGAAGTTACCTCGTACCCAAGTTCGTCAGTCGTAGATGAAATTTATGAAATACACGCTGAAACTTATGTATCCTTCCAGCTCTTCTTCTGTTTATTCCGAATCTTTAAACCGTCACACGTTGCGTAGAATCTGTCCAGTCGAAAAATCGAAAACAACATCGATCACGTAGCTCATCTCCAAGCATAAATAAATTAAAACGAATCCAGTTGACTCTGAATCAGACAATTTATGCCATGTAATCGGTTGATTAAAACCGATTCAATAATCGCCGTAAACAAGAGTTACCACGCCATATCTCAACAAGTTTAATTATGGGGATTTTAATATTCCCCATAAGGAATTTTCCACTTCATAGACTATGACCTCGATTTTGACCAAAAGATTATTTACTATGGATACATTATATCCTGACAAATTTCTTCCTTTCCCCGAAATGTTTCCATAAACACTTGTTGCATATGTATTCTTCAAAATAACAATTAAAGTCTACTTTTAGGGGCACAATTAAAATTAACCGAAAAAATGCTGAAAAAACTCGCACACAATTCAAAACAAGTCCCTCATAAGGACTCGGCGAAAAAAACAAGCCTTTTAGACTTCGTGGCGCTTGAAACAAATTTCGAAAGGACTCTTTACGCTAATTTCCGTTTGTTCTTTCATTGCACGTTTGGTGGAGTACTGCGAAAAAGAAAAAAAAAACAGCAAAAACACAAATTGTAACAATTATTTTAAAGGATTGGAAAGAGTGAGCCTTGCCAAAGAGGTGGAGAGAGGTAGAGAGAGAAACAAACATCAAAGGCCACAACAAGCTCATTATCCTTGAAATGCATATTTTTTATGTGTTGTGCAACACAAATTACTGTCCTAAACAACAACAAAAAACAAGACAACAAGAGTTATGCATAAATTAAATCATTTATTATGGGAAAATGCAAAACGAATACAGAAAATAAATGACAAGTGGTCCTCGAGCTACTGCTTCAAAGGACCTACTCAACAATTTAGTTACTCTTTATTACTCTCATTGGCCATGGCACTTAACAACAGCTGTAGCTACAATTACAATAATCCCATTTCATAATAACCATAATTACAGCACACACACATCCCGCTGCAGATAGGTCCACAGCCATTGCAGATGTGAGGTTATGCGCGTATTAATCCCCATCCCGTATTGTTGGCCACAACTCTGGCCAAAACTAATCAAACCCAGTAGCTGCAGACGTTGTGATCGCCATATTACCGGTCCACCCGAATCATATTGACATGTATCCTGACCACGTCCCAAATAATCATATGTGCAAATGTGAGAGCTCTGTATCACGGTGGTATTATAACGTTCCTGACATCCACGATTTTCAACGGTGATTAGTTGGGCCTTTTGCAGGGTATTTGATTTCATACCGGCAAAGGCAATGGTACCCCAACCGGCCACATCCACTTGCATGTAGGCGAAGGGATCGAATCTGTAATGGAAAGGGCGGGAGGAGGATATTTGAAAAAAATGGAAGGAAGAGGTTGATTTTCTTACCTTTGACGCCATGGCAGGCATATGGGTCCCACACCACGGGACCATTCCATGGGCAGCACTGTGACCAAAATCGAAATATCATTTTGTGTCGAACTGGATGTTGAAGCATAATTGGGGTGATTAATGATGCGCTGGATACGGTACTGGGCCTCGAAGGCAGTGTCACCATCTGGAAGACCAAAGAAAAGGGAGGCTCTATAAGGCGAGGATTTTTTAAAGAAGATTTTTTCAAGGCCCTACAAGGCGTGGATTTTTGAAAGAAGATTTTTTCAAGGCCCTACAAGGCGTGGATTTTTTAAAGAAGATTTTTTTTATGGTCCTACAAGGCGTGGATTTTTTAAAGAAGATTTCTTCAAGGCCCTACAAGGCGTGGATTTTTTAAACAAGATTTTTTCAAGGTCCTACAAGGCGTGGATTTTTTAAAGAATAATTTTCAATGTCCTACAAGGCGTGGATTTTTTAAAGAAGATTTTTTTCAAGGTCCTACAAGGCGTGGATTTTTTAAAGAAGATTTTTTCAAGGCTCCACAAGTCGTGGATTTTTTAAAGAAGATTTTTTCAAGGCTCCACAAGGCGTGGCTTTTTTAAAGAAGATTTTTTCAAGGCCCTACAAGGCGTGGATTTTTTAAAGAAGATTTTTTCAAGGTCCTACAAGGCGTGGATTTTTTAAAGAAGATTTCTTCAAGGCCCTACAAGGCGTGGATTTTTTAAAGAATAATTTTCAAGGTCCTACAAGGCGTGGATTTTTTAAAGAATAATTTTCAAGGTCCTACAAGGCGTGGATTTTTTAAAGAATAATTTTCAAGGTCCTACAAGGCGTGGATTTTTTAAAGAATAATTTTCAAGGTCCTACAAGGCGTGGATTTTTTAAAGAAGATTTTTCAGGGTCCTACAAGGCGTGGATTTTTTAAAGAAGATTTTTCAGGGTCCTACAAGGCGTGGATTTTTTAAAGAAGATTTCTCCAAGGCCCTACAAGGCGTGGATTTTTTAAAGAAGATTTTTTTCAGGGTCCTACAAGGCGTGGATTTTTTAAAGAAGATTTCTCCAAGGCCCTACAAGGCGTGGATTTTTTAAAGAAGATTTTTTTCAGGGTCCTACAAGGCGTGGATTTTTTAAAGAAGATTTTTTTCAGGGTCCTACAAGGCGTGGATTTTTTAAAGAAGATTTTTTTCAGGGTCCTACAAGGCGTGGATTTTTTAAAGAAGATTTTTTTCAGGGTCCTACAAGGCGTGGATTTTTTAAAGAAGATTTTTTTCAGGGTCCTACAAGGCGTGGATTTTTTAAAGAAGATTTTTTTCAGGGTCCTACAAGGCGTGGATTTTTTAAAGAAGATTTTTTTCAGGGTCCTACAAGGCGTGGATTTTTTAAAGAAGATTTTTTTCAGGGTCCTACAAGGCGTGGATTTTTTAAAGAAGATTTTTTTCAGGGTCCTAAGGAAGGCTCCACAAGGCGTGGATTTTTTAAAGAAGGCTCTACAAGGCGTGGATGTTTTAAAGAAGATTTTTTCAAGGCCCTACAAGGCTTGGATTTTTTAAAGAAGATTTTTTCAAGGTCCTACAAGGTTTGGATTGTTTAAAGAAGATTTTTTCAAGGTCCTACAAGGCGTGGATTTTTTAAAGAATAATTTTCAAGGTCCTACCTGGAGTGGATTGAAGATTTTTTTACTAATTTTTCTACTTACCCACAGCCAAATTATGATCACCCACATAGGCCACTATGCGACTCGGGTCTGGATACATGCGCATGCAATGGGCTGCGGTCAAGATGTGGCGGCGACTAACTACAAAAAATCATTCCGATTTTTAATCAATTTTCCAAAATCCTCTTCCCGACCTTACCAATATTACCACCACAAAATATACGCTGTGGTGAATTGCCATCTCTCAATGCCACCATCGAAGGAAATTCATGTTTTACCGTCTCCACACCATTGGTTATCCTTGTATTCACCGACCAGCCACAGCTACAGGCCTGACGTCGGGCAAATGCCTGACAAGCAAAACGTCCTCGCTGTAAAGCATTTGGTCGCACCGAGGCATATGCCAAAACCATGGAGCGGAAATGCGATATTCTTGTAACCTGACTAGTTAGGCAATAACGTTCGCCGTCACGTAACTGGAAATCACCATCCAGGGATATGATGAAATAATCATTGTCACACCTATTTGGGGCCTAAGGAGGACATTCACATTTATTTTGGTTATCAAATTGAGTTCCACTATTTCCTTACCACTTCAAAGAAGCAATTCACCACCACAACATGATCGAGGGGTGCTGTGATGCGATAACGACAATTCGTACCCAAGGGATATGGATTGGGATAATTTCGGGAGGTTATATTCAACACTTGGCGATCATTTTGTAAACGATATTCTATGGAACATTGCTGTTGGCCAGAAGTTATTCTCCCGCAGAGAAAAATTACCAAAATCAGAGGCAGAAGTAATGTAACGAACATATTAGGTGTAACGACCGAACTGAGATCATTGACTTGCAGTAATGCGGAATTTAAAGATTTTTTTTCATGTGAATTATTGTTGTTGGTTTAGTAGAGGTGATAAGAATATTTGTTGCCAAATAAATTGCTCAACAATTTAAGAAGGTGTTCCATTTACGATTTCTGGGGAAATGGGGCAACAATAGGTTAGTTCCTATCATTTTCGAAGGGATCTGAGTTTTTAATAAAAATTTAGTTAAAATAAAGGCTTAATATCGTTTCGATAAGAAAGTTTTTGGTTAAATATTGATGCATACTTTTCAAATTCATTAAATTCGAGGTGTGGTGAGTTTCATAACAACGTGGTGAATTAAAAAAACTGGTCTAATATCATCCTTAAGCTAATAATTATGAGGCAAAACTTTAAAATAGTTCTCTAATAAATCAATTTTGAGGTGTGGTGAATTTTTTCAAGGGTGGTGAATAAATGAAAAAAAATGCTGCAATGTTTTTTAAGTGTTGATTTTTTGCTAAAATTGTTTTAAATAGTTTCCAAATAAAGCGATTTAAAGATGTGGTGAATTTTTCAATGGTGGTGAATATAAAAAATGTTTCGGAAAGTACACAAACATAGCAAACATGGTTTCGAATTATTGATTTTTGACTGATATTTTAAAGAAAACGATTTTAAGGTGTGGTGAGTTTAATAACAACGTGGTGAATTAAAAAACTGACCTAATATCAGCTTTAAGCTATTATGAGGCACAACTTTAGAATAGTTCTCAAATAAATCAATTTTGTGGTGTGGTGAATTTTTTCTAAGGTGGTGAATATTAAAAACGTATTGAAATTGACCGAAAAAATTGCTAAAATATTTTTTAAGTGTTGATTTTTTCGCAAAAAATTTTAAATAGTTTCCAAATAAACTGATTTGAAGATGTGGTGAATTTTTCAGTGGTGGTGAATATAAAAAATGTTTCGGAAAGTGCAAAAACATAGCAAACATGGTTTCGAATTATTGGTTTTTGACTGATATTTTAAAGAAAACGATTTGAAGGTGTGGTGAAAATTCGTAAAATACAAGGTGTGGTGAGTTTCATAACAACGTGGTGAATTAAAAAACTGACCTAATATCAGCCTTAGGCTATTATGAGGCACAACTTTAAAATAGTTCTCAAATAAATCAATTTTGAGGTGTGGTGAATTTTTTGTCAATTTAAATACAATTTAAATACATTTTTTATATTCACCACTTTGAATATAAAAAATGTATTTAAATTGAGCGAAAAAAATGCTAAAATATTTTTTAAGTGTTAGTTTTTGTGCTAAAATTTTTTTAAATAGTTTCCAAATAAACTGATTGGAAGATGTGGTGAATTTTTCAATGGTGGTGAATATAAAAAATGTTTCCGAAAGTACCAAAACATTGCAGAAATGGTTTAAAATTATTTATTTTTCACTGATATTTTAAAACAGTTTCTAAACAAAACCATTTGTAGGTGTGGTGAATTCTTTTTAATTCTGGTGAATATAAGAAATATTTAAAAATTTCCAAAAAAGTGCAAAAACTATTTTTAAGTTTTAATTTTTAGCTAATATATTCAAATAGTTTCAAATTAGACCGATTTTATGATGTGGTGAATTTTTTTTGGAGGTGGTGAATATTAAGCCTGTTTTTAAAATTACCAAAAAATTGTTATAATGTTTTTTTAGAGTATTGATTATTGTTGGATATTTTAAAATGGGTTCTTTATAAATCGATTTTAAGATGTGGTGATTTTTTTGAAGGTGGTGAATATAAAAATATTTTAAAAAATGTCAAAACATTGCAAAACAAATTTATTGACTGTTGGTACTTGGATGATACTTTCAAGTTGTTCGTAAATAAACCGACTTAAGAGTGTGTTGAATTTGTTTCTAAGATGGTGAAATTTATGAAGAATGACCCTGGGAGATCATTGGGGCTGTCAAAAAATATTTGTTTCATTAAATACGGTTTCTAAGCCTTTCTAACAAATTTTAAAGGTGTGGTGAATTTCCGAAAAGTGTGGTGAGTTTCTCAAAAATGTTGAAAATGATATAAATAGCAGCAAGGATCCAATAAAAAAATATTATAACGTAAATCTGAGCACCCAGAGTTGCAATACACTAATTTTTTCATTTGAATTCTTTCGTAAAATTTTAAAAATATTTTTTTTCTCATTTTACTTGTTTTATATTTTTAACATAGCCTCTTCTAAAACAAAACAAAAAGCCCGTGTAGAGATCATCGGGACTGCCAGAAAATATTTATTTCATTAAATACGGTTTCTAGAGTCAAAGTAATGTCTTTGCAACCAATTTCTAGGGTGTGGTGAATTTCCGAAAAGTGTGGTGAGTTTTTCAAAAATGTTGAAAATGATATTAATAACAGTTAGGATTCAATAAAAAATATTATAAAGACAATCTGAGCATTTAGAGCTGTGTTATACTATTTTTACCTTTTAAAATCTTTTGTAAAGTTAAAAAAATAATAAAATTTTATTTTTTATTTTACTTGTTTTATATTTTCAAAATATTTGTTTCTAACACAACAATTTATTAAATTCTATATATTCACAACAAAAAAATCATCATTGGATGGATATATAGAGGAGGAGCCTTTAAAATAATTTAGGTGTCCTTGGTAAGTTCTTAAGAGCTCCAATTTGTGAAGAAAGCCCATGTAGAGATCATCAGGGCGATCAAAAAATGTTCTTCCATTAAATATGTGTCCAGAAGACAAAGTAATGTCTTAGGGACAAATTCCGAAGGTGTGGTGAATTTCCACCAAGTGTGGTGAATTTCTCAAAAATCTTGGAAATGATATATGTGGTGATTAGGAACCAATAAACACAATTTTAACATCAATCTGAGCTTGCTTAATTATGTTACATTAATTTTTCCATACAAAAAACTGCCCTTAAAATTAAAAAAATATTTTTTTAAATAAATTTTTTATTTTTCGTAAAATTCAAAAAAATAATAAATTTTTATTTTTTATTTTACTTGTTTTATATTTTCAACATATCTGTTTATAACACAGCAAATTTTTAATTGGGGATGGATATATAGAGGAGGAGCCTAATTTAGGTGTCCTTGGTGTCCAATTTGTGAAGAAAGGCCATGTAGAGATCATCAGGGCGATCAAAAATTATTTTTTTCCATTAAATATGTGTCCTGAAGGGAAAGTAATGTTTTAGGGACAAATTTCGAAGGTGTGGTGAATTTCCACCAAGTGTGGTGAATTTCTCAAAAATCTTGGAAATGATATAAATGGTGATTAGGAACCAATAAAAACTATTTTAACATCAATCTGAGCCCGCATTATTATGTTACCTTAATTTTTCCATAAAAAATGCCCTTAAAATTAAAAAAAATATTTTTAATAAATTATTTTATTATTTAAACAAATTTTTATTTTCAATATAGCCTTTTCTAAAACCACATTTTTTTAATTCTACAAATTCACAACACATGTTGAGTACCCAGTATTTTGATAGATCCACGTCAAATATGAGGAAACCCTAGTATTGACACCCGTTGCATAGCCACCTTGACCACAGAATTTACCAAAACTAATACAACCCAAAATATATTGTCTTAACGTGCGTCTAATCACAGGACCGCCAGAATCATATTGACACGAATCACGACTAGTTCCGGTATAATCATAGGTACACACTTGCGAGGGATAAATTGTGGTATCATTATAGGTACGAGCACAGGATTCATTATCCGTTATAATGACCGTTGTCTTCTGCAATGTATCCGAATAGGCCCCAGCAAAGGACTTTGTGCCCCAACCAACCAGATCCACATAGGTGTAGGTGAAATCGGTTTCCCTAGGAAAAAAGATGGACAAATAAAATTAAAAATAATTTATTGAGCTTCGAAATTATATCCCACTTACGTCGTTCCCGGTGGTGGCAGACACATTGGACCCACTCCCCTTGACCACTCTATGGGAGAGGTTGTTCTCAGCAGTGAAATATCATTGATCATAGTGGGTCTACTGCTATAGCCAGGATGTTGTATAATTTGGGCCACATAATAGTTCATGGCATATTTGGTTTCAGTATCTAAAACGGGAAGAGAGGTTTAAAAACCTATTCCGAAAAAAATATTGCAAAATTCCCACTTACCTATTGCCAAATTATGATCACCAGCCTTGATAATATAAGTTGCCGGATTGGGTACCAACTCTGTGCAATGAGCCGCCGTTAGGACATAATAATGGGAAACTAAACAAAATATTAATATTAAAAAATTAAAAATCTTCGAATATTTCTTCAATGTCTTACTTATGGTTCCCGAACAAAATGGCGGCGATTCTTCGGCGGTCTTCAGGGCCACTACCCCAGGATATTCATTAATGCCCGTCTCTTGTCCGTTAACAATTTTCGTATTCACCGACCAACCACAATCGCAGGGCTGTGGTGCCGTATACATTTGACAACGGAAACTACCCCACGAACCACCCGAAGTATAGGCAAATACCACCGAGCGGAAAAGAGATTTACGTACCACTACACCTTTGCCGCAAAATTGTTCCGATCCACGTAAATATTCATCACCATCCGTAGCTACATAGAAATATTCGGTACTGCAGGCATTGCTGCCCTGAGGAAGAGAAAAACGGATAGGGTGAAAGGGAAAATAGCAAAATATTTTTTAGAGGATGATGGATAAAGAGAGCGGGACATTTTTTTATTATAGATGATATATTAGATGATACTAGCTAATATAGGAGGGCTCTATATAGATTATATTAGGATAAGAGGACCATAAAATAGAGGTCACATTAGGTTTGGAAAAATTTTGCAGAGGTTCTATTAGGATAAGTGGATCCATGTAAGGGCCGGATTAGGTCAATAGGAAATCTATAGACATCCGATTACATTAGAAAAATATGAGCTCTATACAGGAACGACTTGTATAAATGGAGCTTTATAGAGTTCCGATTAAAAAAGTCGAGCTACAAAAAAGTGCGATAATGATAGGGAAAACCTTTTAGAGGTTCGATTAGCGTACATAAAGATCGTAGAGGTCGAATGTGGATTAAATGAGCTCAATAGTGGTCCTATTAAGATTGAAGAAGCTCAATAAGTGTCCGATTAGTAAGAAGCAAATCTATATAAAACTTATTAGAATGAGAGGAGCTCTTAAGAGGTTCGATGAGGTTAGGAAGAACTTTTGAGTCGTCCGATTAAGGTGAGAGGAGCACTTTAGAAGTCCGATTAGATTAAGAGGAACTCTTGAGAAGTCCGATTAGATTAGGAGGAGCTATTGGGAGGTCCGATTACGGTAGGAGCAGCAATTTGGAGATCATATTAGGATACGAGGAGCTTTTTATTGGTCCGATTATGGAAAGACAAACACTTTAGAAGTCCGATTAGGTTACGATGAACTCTCTAGGCGTCCGATTAGGATAGGAAGAGCTCTTTATAGGTCTGATTAAGGCAGAAGAAGCTATTTAAAGGTCCGATTAGGGTAAGAGGTCCTATTAAGAGGTCTGATTGGGGTATGAAGGGCTCTTTGGAGGTCATATAAGGGAAGGAGGAGTATTATAAAAATCAATTTTGTTAGGAGGAACTCCATAGAGGTCTGATTTGGATAATAGAGATCTAAACAGTTTGGATTATGATAAGTGGAACTCTAACATGGTGCGATAAGAATGGATGGAGATATATAGAGGTTCGATGAGAATAAATACAACTCTTCAGAGGTCCCATGAGCATAGAATGAGCTCAAGAGAGTTCCGATTAAGGTAAAATGAGCTTAATAGAGGTCCGATTAAAATGGCATATATTTTATAGAGGTAGAAGAAGCTATTTAAAGGTCCTATTAAGAGGTCTGATTGGGGTATGAAGGGCTCTTTAGAGGTCATATAAGGGTAGGAGGAGTATTAAAAAAAATCAATTTTGTTAGGAGGAACTCTATAGAGGTCTGATTTGGATAATGGAGCTCTAAACAGGTCGGATTATGATAAGTGCAACTCTAAAATGGTCTGATAAGAATGGATGGAGATATATAGAGGTTCGATGAGAATAAATACAACTCTTCAGAGGTCGTATCAGAATAGAAGGAGCTCAAGAGAGTTCCGATTAAGATGGAATATATGTTATAGAGGCCTTATTAGGATAGGTGGAGCTCTTAAGTATTCCATTTGTGTTAGGAGGAGGTCTTTAATGGTTAGATGAGGATATGAGGAACTGTTTAGAGGTTCAATTAGAATCGGGGAAACATTTTACTGGTGCGATTAAGGCAAAACAGCATTTTAGAAATTCGATTAGGCTGGGAGGAGTTATTTAGAGGTTCAAATAGGTTAGGAGAAGCTCTTTAGAGGTCCAATTAGGTTAGGAGGAGCTCTTCAGTGGGCCAATAAAGGTAGGGGCAGCTCTTTAGAGGTCCGATTAGGGTAAGAGGAGCTATTTAGAGGTATGGTTAGGCTAGGAAGAGCTCTTTAGAGGTCATATTAGGGTAGGAGGAGTATTATAAACGTCAAATTATGTTAGGAGGAACTCTATAGAGGTATGATTTGATAAGTGGAGCTCTGAAAAGGTCCGATATGAATTGTTGGAGCCATAAGAGGTTCGATTAGAATAAAAATATCTATTCAGAGGTCCGATGTGGATAGATGGAACTCAAGATAATTCGATTAAGATAAAATGAGCTTAATAAAGGTCCGATCAAGATATAAACAATCTATAGAGGTCTTATTAGAATGAGAGGAATTCTTTAGAGGTCCAATTAGGGTAGAAGCAGCTCTCTAAATATGCCATTAGTTACGAAAGAGCTCTTTAGAGGTCCGATTAGGGTAGAAAAAGATTTTTGGAGCTCCGTTTAGGCTAGAAAGAGCTATTTTGAGGTCTGATTAGGATAGGAAAAGTTTTTTAGAGCCCAAATTAAGGAAGGTTAAGTTTTATGAAGGTCGATTTGTATTTGAAGAAGTGGTAACAAAAACTATACAGAGGACGAAACAGGTCCGATTAGGGTAAAAGAATATATATAGACTTCAGATTAGGAAAAATGAAGTTCTATGGAGACCAAATTAGGATAATGGGAGCTCCATAAAAGTCCAATTGAGAGGAGTTCTATATAGATCCGAAATTTGTACGATTAGGAAAAATGAAGTTCTATAGAGACCAAATTAGGATAGTGGGAGCCCCATAAAAGTCCAACTGAGAGGAGTTCTATAAAAATCCAATTAATAGGAGTAGCTCCATAGGTCCTGCCTTTTGTAATAAAAGAAGTCCTAGAAGAAATTCAATATAGCGCCATGTCATTTCAGGTTACTGTCCATTTTATGTATTTTAAAGGTCATAGTCTTATTTTCCAATCGAAGTGACTGTAATTTGAGGTTCTCAGAAAGTAAACAACCTCCTGGCGAAATATGTCAATGATATGACATAGCTGTCATTTAATGGTCCCGATCGTTTTAGGTAATTTTAAGGTCCTAGCCGAAATTTCCAATCGAAATGGAATAATTTGGTTCTGATAGCTTAACAGATTTCCTGGCAAACATTGTAGGTCCATGATTTCACATATCTCACAAATAAAGATCCGGCTAATTTTAGATAGTTGGAAGGTCCTAACCGAAATTTTCAATAGAAGTGACTGTAAATTGGATTTGTGGGCTATCAAACTAGCGCCGTTTTATTTTATGACTTTGCAATAAAATTTCGAATTCTAACCGAGGATACAGGCCATGTTTTTAAACAATCTCTCCCGTTTTTTGTTTTAGATCCTGAACTCAGATGTTGGGATATATTTGTGTTCACATTTTTATCTTACCATATTCAAATTAATCGTGCAGTTAATGCTGATATCATAATCCAATGGTGCCACAAATTTATAACGACATGATGTCCCTGCAGGATATACATTGGGATAGAGAGGAGATTCCAAATATGTGTAACCGGGATTTATTTGATATGTATGATCGCAACCCTCAAATAAAGCAGAGGCAATGCCAAGCTGCAGGCCAAGCAGGGTCGTCAAGAGGAAGAGAACTGGAACGAGCAGAAAAAAATAATATGAAATAAAAAGGTTGTAATATAAGTATAACATAAAAACAATAAAAAAATGCGGAACCAAAAAAAAAAAAAAAAAAACAGTAAGGAAAGTAGTAAAGTCGGACGGGGCCGACTATATGATACCCTTCACCACTATGGATATATTAAACAGGACTATTAACATGAAATTGGATGAAATAAAATATGTGATATTTATCTAAATGTGAATCTACCTATATATCCATAAGTTATATAAATCGACTTCAATCAAATATAAATAGGTTATCTGTTGGGCTATGTCTGTACTTCTAGAAAACGCAACTACGTAATTCTATGCTCAATTTTGTACGTTGTGCAAAATTTGATGTCAACCTGACTAGCATGAAGAGTTTAATGTCCAATTTACTTAAAATCGGGCGAAAATATATATGGAAGCTCTATCGAAATATATCGAAGGATATATAGGGACTTTGGTACACCATTTACATGAAATCGGACGAAACTATATCTGAATCTGGGCCGATTTTCTCGAAACTGAGCAGACATCATTCAAGGCTCAATTCAGTATGTTATGCCAAATTTCCTGCAAATCGAAAGATATATGGGACTTTGGGGCACCATTAACATGAAATCGGACGAAACTATATGTGGAAGCTATATCTAAATCTGGACCGATTTTCGCGAAACTGGGCAGACATCATTCTAGCCTCAATTCAGTACGTTATGCCAAATTTCATGCAAATCGATAGATATATAAGGACTTTGGTACACCATTTACCTTAAATCGGAGGAAGATATATACGGGAGCTATATCTAAATCTGAACCGATTTTCACGAAACTTTGCACACATCATTCTAGACTTAATTCAGTGCGCTATGCCAAATTTCGTGCAAATCGAAAGATTTTCAGGGTCTAAAGTCCGTAAATCGGGCGAAACTATATATGGGAGCTATATATAAATCTGAACCGATTTTCACGAAACTTGGCACACATCTTTCGTGGCTCAATTCAGTACGCTATGCCAAATTTCGTGCAAATCGAAAGATTTTCAGGGTCTAAAGTCCGTAAATCGGCCGAAACTATATATGGGAGCTATATCTAAATCTGAACCGATTTTCACAAAACTTGGCACACATCTTTCGTGGCTCAATTCAGTACGCTATGCCAAATTTCGTGCAAATCGAAAGATTTTCAGGGTCTAAAGTCCGTAAATCGGGCGAAACTATATATGGGAGCTATATAGGAGGTGATGCAAATGTGGTATACCCATTTGTTTTTAGATTGCCAAATTTTTATTTTTTATCCGATTAAATTGAAATTTTGCACTTAACATGCTACATGTGTTGTCTTTCCATGTATCAATTTGAAAATAATATTATTCTAACAATTTAAGAGATATTTGAGAAAATATTTGAAATTCCATTAAAAGTGATTTTAAAAAAAGTGAAGGTAATGTGGTATACCACATGATGTTAATGTGGTATAGCATAATTATCACTTCCAATTGATATATTATATAATTTATTGTTTTTAATGAATGCGAATTAGCTCGAGATTTATGTCTGTTAAGATTTTTAACGGATACGTTGAGTGGAACTTAAATTTGTATTATATAATAATGTCTACACATGTCAATATTTAATTTTTGTATGGAGAAGTTGTTAAAACTCATATCCTTTGTTTTTTATCCTTGTGATTCATGGTAGACTCTCGTAGAGTACAAATGTTTCACATAGTAATGAGATTTTGTCTAGTGCTGGCCTTTTTTCATGCAGAACCAAGGTATACCACATTACCTACACTTGTGTTTACTGAAGAAATGTCTAGTTTTTTTCCAAATTGGTGATTATGTGGTGCAATCGCGCATATTATTTGATTTTTAGTTTATACTGATTATTTTAATGCTTTAGTAATAACGATTAAAGTACATCCGTAAAACAAAAAATTATTTTTAAACTTCAACCGAAAAAAAGTAAATTTCATGAAAAATTTTATTTTTGGTACTGATTCTCAACGTGATTTAAATAAATTAAACAGGTCATTGCTATCTTATTTTTTTGAGAACAGCAAACTATAGAACATGTTTCAGTTATTCTAAAATTTTCAGTTTACAAAAAAAGTGACTATACCACATTACCAACCTATACCACATTTGCATCACTTCCACTATATAAATCTGAACCGATTTTCACGAAACTTGGCACACATCTTTCGTGGCTCAATTCAGTACGCTATGCCAAATTTCGTGCAAATCGAAAGATTTTCAGGGTCTAAAATCCGTAAATCGGGCAAAAATATATATGGGAGCTATATCTAAATCTGAACCGATTTTTCCCAATTTCAATAGGGTTCGTCCTTGGGCCAAACAAATGAGCTGTGCCAAATTTCATCCAAATCGGATCATAAATGCGACCTGTACTTTGTTTACAATTTAACATGGACAGACGGACGGACGGACATGCATAAATCGATTCAGAAAGTGATTCTATGCATATTCTCAAAAGGAACCATGGGTCTATCTCGATTATTTTTGCCTGTTACAAACATATGCACAAAGACATAATACCCTGTACCACAGTGTGGTGAAGGGTATAAAAAATAAAATAAAATAAAAAATGAGGTTCTTAAAAAAACAATAAATAATAAAATAGAAAATATTAAAATATTCTAACACAGAAACATTTTGAAATTCGAAAAATTTAATTTGGATAAAAAATAAAATTTCAATATTTGTATAAAATGTATTTTCTCCGCGTACAAAAGAATTTCCCTGCTATTATAATTTTCTATTCAATTTTACTTACTTCGTATATTAGTCATCACTTTTACTTTTATTTTCTAACTTTACCCTAATAATAAAATTACTTCAAGTTCATTATTTGTATTATAAAAACCACACAACACTTTCCCTTTCAATGGGTTTCTTGTCAACCGTTTTCAACGGAAATCGCAATGAATTAGAAAATGTTAATTTCAGCTACGTGACCTATCTGCCGAAATTATACCATCATCTTCGTGTGTGATATGACAGACAATGTTGTGTTATTCGAAGGTTGTTGTGGTTTATGGATGCTAATAAGCTGTTACGGCAGAGATGACACTCTTCTAACCAAAAAATTACTAAATAAAAATAAAGACAACTCATTATCGTTTTATGGCCAGGTTATCTATAGATATCGTTTATAACGGTTATAAATAAATTATCATTTTTTGGCGGAAATATATTATGCTGCCTCATATATACTTCACGTTGTAAAACATATATTAGAGTGTCAGGTAATAGAAATGAAGAAGATGTTGTTATGATTTTTATTTAATATTTGGGTTATAAAGGGTTATCAGATAATCCTATAAGAAATGTGTGGTAATTCCTGTCATTAGAGTGACTTGGGGTATTAAAAGTTTATCTCTAAAATTTATAAATTATATATTTTCGTTAATGTCATATTATTGTTTTTTTTTTCTTAATAAAATGTCAAATTTAAAATCATCGTCTGCTAGTTATATTTCTTTAATAAAATCGGACCACATAGTATTTTAATTGAAAATCCCCTTAATAGATAAGATAGATAACTGTCAGATAATATACGTTTTGAAATTAAGTACTGCTATAAACTGAAGACATATTTTGAATGTTCCCAGAATTTCGAAGAAAAAATTGAAAGTGGTTTTATTGTCAAAAAAAGGTTAGTAAATAAGAAATGATTAAGGAAAGACCCATGTTGGACGGATCGACCATATGATATCCTTCATCGTTTTAATTATATACACGATATGTTTCAAGGATCTTATTGTAACACAATAAATTACATATGGATGCTATAAAAAACAAACACACGTCATTGTGTACTTAATTCGGAAACGTATTTACACCACTTAAATGAAACCGGAAATATATATGAATGCTATATCGAAATCTGAAGCGATTTGAACAAGGCTCCAGACAAAACATTCCAGTCTCAAATCGGTAGCACAAGATAATTTTTGCATTTGCATTGGACAGACAGATAAGGCCTCTTGAGCACCGATTATTTCCAATTTCAAAATGGTTCGTTATTTGGCTTAGACGTAGTTAGTACCTATAAAATACCTATTATAAGCTGGGGCGTTAATATGTACGGTGCATATTGAAAATTTTCTGGGAGGATGTTTTTATTCTCTGAGAACGAAACACAAAATTATGACCATTTCTTATACGGAAAATTCGGACAGCCCCAAGAGTATGTAACGGTCCTAGACCCATCTTTAAGTATACCGATCCTCATATCTCGACTTGCTGCATGCCCGCCCGTCCGTCTGTCCGTTATAATTTGTAAACACGATACAGGCCACAGTTATGAACCAATCTTCATGTAGGATGGATTCTGGCCAATGAAGACCCCTATTGTTTTTGGTAAAGATTGGTTAATGGACCAAAAACTTTATTTTTGTCTGATTTTCTGTTTGCTCCAGAGGCCGAAATTATGGCCCAAACACTGCGAACTTTTGCATAGAGAAGGGGATCGGGCCAAAGAATAAGCATGCCTGTTTTGATAAAGATCGGTCTATATTTAGCGAATCAAATGGACCCTGAATTTTGTGTGAAAAATGACAAAATTTGTATTCTATGGCGTATATATTGCCCCTGAAGGACCTAGACCCAAAGGTTGATAGTATGTGCAAGAGGAGTGGTTGATCTTTAAATTGATACCAATTATATGGTCGTACGTACTCAGATGTGGGAGCTACACTTAAATATTTACAGGTGCTTACGTATTCAGGCATTATTTAGTAACCCAAAACCATACTAGAGAGCGGAAATATAGCGCTGATCGCTTTGAAAATGTCCATGAGATTTCAGTTATGGTCAAGGACAACGCCTGTAACACTCGGTGATGATCAGACAATAATTTTGGGATGAAGTGGACCGAA